AGTGAAAACCAAAAAAAAAAAAAAAACTAATTTCTCCATGTAATTTTAAGTCCTATTACAGCTTTTGTGATTTTTTTTTTGTGTGTGATTTATTTGAGGAAGTAAAGAAAAATAAATACGCCTTTGATTTCTGCCCTACCTGGTTTGTTCCTGTTGCATTTTACCTTCAGTTCTTGAAAGTTTTGTGTAGAACTGTTTTTTATTGTAAAAATGAATGTCTAGTGATTTATTATTAATCTTGTAAAAAAATGTCTTTGTGTTTTAACCCTTTTTTTTTTGTTAACAATGGCAAACTTTTTGTTCAAGCTTCGAAACCCCCAGGTTTTGGCCCCTCTGGGGAAACTTGTGATTACAAACATTTCAAAATTATATTACAATCTTTTGAATCTATTGAAAACAGTGGCATTATGTCTCAAAGGCTTGTTTTTACTGCTCAAAAAGACAGCCAATGTTCATTGATCTCTGCATCTGCCAAGTCATGTAACCTAGAAACTGCAGAATAAAACCAATTGTATTATATTTCTGCCTCAGATTTCTGTCTCCTCCTGATATTAGTGCTAGTATTTCATGTGTCACCTCACTAAACGGAACAAATAAGTCTGTCTGTTCAGCTGTAAACCAAACTGAGGGGCACAAAAGGTTTAGACTAGTCAAGTTAGTCTTCTAATGTTTTTCTTTAAGACTGGCCATAATTTTTCATATTCGTTTACATAAAAATGTAGATTAGTCTTCAATTGAATCCAAAAAATAAAACTGATTATCCCTTGGCTAACTGCTAGTTGGTCATACTAGATCTTAAGACACCGTTTTAATGTAGAGGCCAAGTTTATGCGACTGGCCAGTGGTGTTGTGTTCAGTCTGGCTGTAAGGCGGCGATCGATCTTAACGTTCTGATTCCATTGTGTTGTCTTGGTTGGCACGGCAACAGAAGTGCTCCTCTTTGCACTCTTGATTGAGTGAACAAGAAAAGGTGCATTGCAGTGATGTAATAATTAAATGAGCATGAGCCTGATTTGGATCCTGTGAGAACCTGCCGTCCATGACAACCGGTGGCAACTTGATGAGAACTATTCAGACATTCAGTAAGAATAAACTAAGACTGCGTTAACCCACAGTTACGTGAGAAACCGCTAATAGTGCTGTGGCTGAGACTACAAGCACACTACAATTGAAATGTTCTCCTGTGAGAATGTGACAATCATTATTTTCATAATAATTCATAATAAATGCTTATTTAACACCAATGCATGATGACAGGTCTTTATGTGAACATAATTTTGCTTTTTGTTGAGGGTTTAGAAAAATCTTAAACACTTGACTACAAAAAAAGTGTTGATTAGCCAGGTATTCCACATATACACACACACACACACATGTCTGGTCAGCTATCCTTGTGGGGACTCTCCATAGGCGTAATGGTTTTTCTACTGTACAGACCGTATATTCTATTGCCCTACTACACACACACACACATATATATATATATATATATAAAATACTTTCAGTAACTGCATGTTGTCAAGCTGGGGTAAGTCACAAGTTAAGTTGTTTTATATTTTAATATTTTGTAGAAACATTAAGGCAAAAATGCAATCAACTTATAAAATAATATTCTGATTTATTTTTAGCTTTAGTACAATGACAGCTAAAAGCAAATAATTACATTCTGGAAACAATTTGGAAAAAAGTATATATATATATACTTTACATTAGTGTGAAAATCACTAAAAAGGTCCCTGCTTGAATAAAAATGTCTGTCTAGTTGGCCTTAATCAATTCTTCAAGTACAAGCTGTAAGCTAAAATAATCACCTTACAGTTCAAAGTTCAAAGACTATAATAATAATAATAATTGTTATTATTATATAGTCTTTGAACTGTAAGTTTATCACAGCCACTGGACAATTTCTGTGATTATCATGAAAATGCCTGTAGCGTTTGGAGTAATATCAGTGTTGATACAGTAGATGGCAACAGAGTTTAACTATAACGATTTATGACGAGAAAACACTTTCATTCTCCCTACAATTATACATACTGACTGCAGTTTCTAAAAAAACACACCCGCTGATGGAGATTGTGAGTTAGTTTGGTTGAGAAGACTTTGCTTATTTTGCGTATCGCTTATTTGACCATCATATTGCCGTCATTCGAGGCAGTTCTCTACTTCCCTTTCGCCAAACGGGTTTATTTAACAATAATCACTATATCATATTTATCGTTACAACTAATTTCCATTAGAACTGATGACGTTGTTGTCTGATTCTCAAGATAAAAATAGCACCAACATCCGGGCCTTCACGCTGTTTACCTGAACCACGTGCTATGGCTATAAGGACTGCTGCGCGTTGCCGTGCGCTTTGGCACGTGTCTTTGCTGTGAACGCGCATTATCGAAAACAAGCGATATGTTGTGTGCGCGGGCTCGCGTTTGTCTGGAGCGCGGAACTTGTGGCGATCTTTCTCGGCAGCTGATTGGTTTGACACAAATGATCCTCAATCTGATTGGTTTTCATGTCTGTGGAAGACAATGTCGTCATAATACACCTATATATTCGCAAACACGTTCGACAGAAAAGTTCAAAAACAAACGGATGGCATTAAAACAAATAAAATTATGAGGTTTCTTTTAAATTACAAAATCTATCCAGCCCGTCAGTGAGAGTATAAATACATAAATAATTAAAGAAAGAAACACATTTAATAATGAGAACATTCAGTGCTCAAGACAAATATTACTGTTGTGGCTTCAAAAATTATCTTAATAAAAATATTTTATTTAATTAGTCGTATTATTATTGTTGCTTATTTCAAATGTGAATGTAGGCTACTAATAGCAACCTGAACTTCACAGGCTTACTGCGTATAGTAGCTACTAAATCGCTTTGGATAAAAGCGTCTGCTAAATGACTAAATGTAAATGTAACGTAAATAACGTTACTCTTTGAATAAAAACGCCATCAAAATAACAAATGAATATTAGTTAACCTAACAAGTATTTATTATTGTTATTATTATTAGCCTTGTTTTTTTGTTTTTTTTACATTTTAAGGGGAGACACTGCAGGCAAAAGCACTGTTTTTTCATGCACCTGTCAATTTTGCGATTTTGGGCTTTTCATAAAGTGTTTTTTCAGACTAGTGGAAAGAAAACATCCAAAATACACTGTTAAGTGTTTCTTTTATAGCACTTTATCTATTTGTGTCAATAGATTTCAATTACAATACATATCTTCAAAGGCCGTTTTCTCAAAATGAGTTTTTTTTCTCCTACACTGAGCCATAAATCTCCACTTCAGTAGCACATACACACACCAAACTTTACATTTTTATTCCTGTCTATATTCTGAAGGTTTTTACAGAGGGATTTGTTCGTATATAATTTGCTTGATTATATAAAACATTTTATTTCCCCAAAAATTGTGAAAATATATTGTTTTCTGGCTGTTCAAAGTATTATGGAGTGACAAAAAGAGATACCCCAAATTCCCTCTGTAAAAACATTGGCCTCTAATATGTCAAAAAAATAAAAAATAAACAAGAATTTTGAAACTGACTTCATCCAGTGTTCAGATTTTTGTACTGGAAATGTATGCAAATTAGCGCATATTTCATTAAATAATGCCTCATTTGCATATTTAAACATAACATTTTAGAAAACTTGTAATACAAATTTTTTTTGCACTTATCAATGTAATCAATCAACTGGGTAAGTAAGGTGATAATTAGTAGTTAATTTTTTTACCCTATTCACCTGCAGTGTCTCGCCTTAATTCTCCCTGGTTTTTTTATGCATTGTGTTGTATATAGCTGTTTATTGAATTTAAGTGGACTACAAAATGCTTAAACTGCTTATTTATGAAGTAATGTGATCATTTTAGTTTTGGATAATCAGTGATGTGATCGACATATTTTCGTTGCATTCATGCAGCTGCAAAATTGCATTCCGTAAAATTCCCACGCAGCTTTCCCCACAGCATAGTTTATTTATTTTTTCATATCAATTAATACTTTTTTTTGTGTGTTTTTAAAAAAAATCAGGGTCGCGTGCTTGTGTAACGTGCGAATATTTGTGAATGAAGACAGGACAGAAGTAAATGTTGGTGAGCGTGGAGCGCACACTAATCGTAGCCTACGTGACCGCATCTCACTCTCATTCAAAAAAAATTAATAAATAAAAACACACACACACACACACACACACACAAATCCGCAGAGAAGACTGTCACAGCGGAAGAACTATGAACAGTAGACTCTGAACAACAACAACAACAGCAGCAGCATCTCGGACCGTCGTGACACATGCGGACACAGCAGCGCTCCTGAATGAGAAACCCTGCAGTGGGGAGAACAGCTGATCCACTTCCTCCCAAAAGGTATTGCATTCTGCATCGTGCAATATTTGGCTTGTTTTCTTTTCAGATTTGATGATGTTTTCCAATGCAAAACAGCCAGTGTGTGAGGGCTGTTTTAAGAGCACTGCATCTGAATGAAGGTCACATTGGTGTGCTGTGTTTTTAAATGATACAGCAAGCAGCAAGTTAAAACACGACGCTTTCAAACACA